AATAAATTCCACCCTCAGACAGGGAGGTGATATGGTCTGTGTTTCAAAGTAACTGTGAATGTTTAAGGTTAAGAACTCACCTTGTGGACTTCTTTAACCAGTACATCCTACAAAAGCACAGTAAACAAATCACCGCATGGTTTAAAAACCCTGATTACGTGTTGCTGTGTATTTCTCTGTGTCTGACCTGTGACACCGTCAGGATGTCCTGAGCGTAGGGGCCGAGGTCATACCGGCACTCCCTGCAGATCCTCTTCAGTGTAGATACACTAGACACAGACAGCTCTGGCTTTGCAAGGCCCTGAAGCACCATAGGCAATATGCCACCCAGCATCACCGGGTGGTCAGCCAGCCACTCAGCAAGTGAGCCTGTTCGACGAGGGATATTAAATTTCCGTTCGAGCATAAACACAAATCACAATCACAAATCTACGATCGTAAAAGAGAGCCGAGCAACCAAAGATCTGTTACCACAGACTAAGCAAGAAAAAGAGAAAATAAGAATTTTCTTTTAAAATAGGCATAACTTCTTACTATGAACAAGGACAATATCATGCAGGTGTCTGAACATACACTGTACCTATTGTATACATCACAGTGTCGGCTAGCAAAATGTTGCTGATGTTGATTCTGGGGATCAGACCAATAAGACCGGGAATAACATCAGAGTAGTTCACGTCTATGGTCTCAGCTATGGACTGGAAGCCAAACAACAGCGCCTCAGTGTCCTGGAGATGGAAATAAACAAAGTCTGGTGTTAGAGACGACATGAAGCATTCCAAATTGCATATATATAGAACTAGCTTAGCAGCTCAGATTCTTTTATTTTATTTGCATAATTAAACTTTCTTGCTGTTTTTATAATTGTTTTTTTAATGATAATTTATTGTATTCATTTATTTTATATGTGGATTTTTCTGTTTGGCATCTGTTGTGGACAGTAAAGGATGTCTCTTTACTGTGCATATGACAATAAAACTAGTAATTTGAAAAAAAAAGAGACTCACAGCAATCAAAATTAAAAAAAGAATGAAAATAAAGTAAGAATTTACTTCAACAACTGGTAAAACACGATGTTTGTAAAAGCTCTTAAACACAACTAAGCTGAGATGATAGAAACAAACAGTCTGTTACACACACAGTCAGATAACAAGCCACACATTCAGGAGCTGTAATATGTTTAATAGATCTGTTAAAACAAGTTATGTAAAAGCAACTATTGACTATAAGGCTCAAAAGATGAGATTACTTTGAATGGTCTGACTCACAGCAGTTGTAAAGGTGCAGACTTATTCCTCTAAATCATAAGTACAACTGAATAATTAAAACAATAACAATATCCCTAATACTCAGTGAAACATGCTATTTACTTCAGTTCTCTATTCCTAATGCTTAATGAAGTAGGAGTGAATCATGGTGAATTGTGCTATAGTTAGCTCTGAATACTGCTTTGAAGTGCTTGAACACTCAAGATAACAAGTGTGGGCTCTAGGAGAGAGCAAGGAGGCTGTCCTTTCTTCTGCAACATTAACAATGCTACCTTTCAGTGTCAGTCACTTTCT